GTAAACTTTACAGTACTATATCTTCTTATCCTCTCTCTCTCCTCTCCCCCCTCCCCTCCCTACCCTTCATCTTTCTTCCAGCAAATATCCAGGTCTCCACGGCCATGACGTGACGCTGAGCGCCGAGGAGTACCGCTCCCTGGTGGGCGGCTCTGACGTCACAGTGACGACTTCTATAGACCTGGGACATAGCCATGAGCTGTTGCTACACTTCAATCCGGCCGACCAGACAATACACATCAAGATGTGTGACTGCAAGGCCCGCTGCTGGGACGGACATCCCGATAAACTGATTAGGGAGTAGAGAAATAACACAGAAGTGGGACAAGAACAGAAAGTTCAAAGACTTTTTTCAGATACTGACGTATTTGTTCCATTATGTACTCTCTGTGTTAGATACCGAGTAACCAGAAGGAAAAATCTTCAATGAGTGTGGATCTTGTACTGAAATCATGAACTGTACCGTCTTGTATACAGCACATTTCGTTAGTAAATTAGATAAAAACAATTTCGTCATTATTTTTGATTTGCACCCACCTCCAAATTGATGTAGATAAAACAAAAATAAATATTTGCAAAACCCAAACAGCAGAGGATGTGGCACGTTTGGAACTCATAACCAGCAGATGAAACATACGCATGTAATTATCTCTTCTTGTTTCTTCCTCCATGACTTCATGACTTCTGGGTAGATCTACGTCATGTTCAGCTTGTGAATAAACAGAAGATGAGAGAACATTAAAACTGATAAACAGAAACAACAAAGGGAAATAATAGAAATAGGAAAATCTAACTGTGTCTACCCACCACCTAGGCCGAAAATCGTTTCCTCCTCCATAACATCTAAGTTGATCTATCTACATCATGTTCCGTTTGGGAGTAAATAGAAGATGAGAGAACATTAAGACTTATAAACAGAAACAAGATAGAGAAATAAAACAAATAGAAGGGTGGTCTAACTGTTCCCCACCCCCTAAACCACCTACCTCCAAGACATCTAGGTAGATCTACATGTTCAGCTTGGGAGTAAATAGAATAGAATTGAAGATAAAAGAGCATTAAGACTGACGATAAATAAATTCAGAGGGGGGAAAAGAGAAGTAGGGCCGTTTAACTGTATCCTCCCGCCATCTGCATCGAAAGGTTGTTTCTGTAACTTTTGTGACTTCTGTGGCTCCTGTGATTTCTTTCCTTCACCCAGCCACGTTCTGCCCTCAACAACTCATGGGTGCCTCTGTCAATGATATAATAACACTTCTGTACTATAGAAAGGGAAGAACATTCTAGCTTTCGTTCTACTAAAATCTTGACAAACAACAATTACTTGAAATGTTTGAAATTATACTAGATCTAATGAAACATTGTGTAATATAAGTAAAACTCGTTAGCTGGAGTCGCCTTCTAAAGTGCCTGATCCGAAACAATAGCAGCCAGAGTCGTAACAATGGTGTGGCTCATCACAACGACCACCTACACTACCACCATTACCTTTAGGCTCTCAAAATTTGGATAAACCCCCATAGGTCTATCAATATAGCTTTCAATGCAAATCAAGCTCGGGTAAAGCAAAGCTGGAGGGCCAGTTCCGATCTCGCAAGCAGTTTCAGTCTGACTCGGGAGTTGACCCAGTAATCATAAAATGAATTTGACCCGCAGTTAGTAAATGATAAAAAACAAACCTGTCGGTCTCGAAAATTGATATCAAACGTTTCTGGCTAAGCTAGAAGCTATTGATCAAACATTTGATCTCTTGACATTTCTTTGAGTGACCAAATGATTATGCTATAGTATATGTAATTTGTTAATAGTGTTCCAAATCCTATAGAATTGGTGCAGAGCGAGTGCTGATTTTTTGGTAATGTGTAAAGAGACAGGGGACATAATTCATGAACACTTCATGAACTTCACAAAAGTTTATATTAACATTATTATTTCCCATATTTAGTGATGTTTCCACCTTCTTCCACAAAATTGAATACCTTTGTACAGGGATCCATACGCACCTGCAAGCTCATAAACTTTGACACATACTGTCATACATTTTGTTGCCCTATTGCTGCTGTTGCTGGAACCCCCCCCCCCCCTGGGTGAAGTGAGCTGTCCTTGGGAAAGCCTAAAGTTGATGCACCAAAAAACCCCAACAAAACAAAACAAAGCAAAACAACAAAACAAAATCAGACTGCCCTTTATTTGACGGGTGTCCTCAATCTGAACAACAGGATCTAGATCTATGTGTCAGAGATTCCATACCAGGAACCGGAAACACACAAGACGGCTTTACACGACAACTTTGGATGGTAGTTGGAAAAACACACCCTGATAGATACTCTCCAATATCCATTTTTGGGGGGCAAGTTTCATATGTCCATCTCAGTAGAGCAAGACATCTGCTAAACACATAACGTGATGAGATTTTCACAATCGGTTGTATTCCACGTGGGTCGTTGGCGGGTGCTCTGGTGTGGTTTGTTATGTGTTTACTGTCAAATATATATTATTTGGTTGACCTTATTTAGGCCACATATGGCCTAAATAAGCTAAACCCCCCTCCCTTACCTTATTTAGGCCACATTTATACAAAGTCACAGAAATATTCATTTTGTGCTTATTGAGTGCAGGGGGATTTTACCTGCAAGGATAATTGGACAAAATGGGCAAAATCTTTATTGCTAATGGTCATATTTAGACAAATCCTATATCATT